TAAATAATGAGGACTAAAAATGTAATTATATTAATGATCACATATTCATGTTGGCTTCTCCATCAAATGTTAACTACAAATAATTTGATTAACATCATTTAAATAATTAAGTGATTTAATTGACAAATTTTAAAATCAATGATCAAATTAAAATCTCACCATAGTTGAGTAGTTAAAAGTATAAGTTTACCCTAAAATGATTTAAATTTGAGAGATGAAATTAAACACCGATTGGAAGACATTTTTAGGGAATGGGGCCGCGTGATTTGCTCATTCTGATCATCATCTATCAATCGATCAAGTATGACATTATATAATAAATATTTCCAATATTACCCTTGATGTTTGGAGAACACACATGCCGTGTGGCTTCCGGCTAAAGCCGGACCACCCGGTTGGCTTTCTGACCACGTCATCACCCGATGGTAGGGGCCGCATCCTCCCCATAAAACCCTAAATTCACGCCACATCCCCATCCACGGTTTCTCTCCTTCCACGTGTACCCGTCTCCCTCATCCTCACCGTTCCCGCCAGATCACCCGGGCAGGCCTCTAGTCACCTTCCAAACCTCTAACAACCCTTCGATCAACAAAAGGATTTTATCTAACGCTCAAAACATTGCCCGAAAATCAAACGGGCAGATCTCATCGCCTTTAAGAATCCAGCCTAGCCTTCTCTCCTTCCTCGCTCAACAAAGGGGTAGATCCCAAGCCCAGTCTTCACGTTTAATTATTTTTCTCCAAAAGAAAAATATTTTCTGGGCTTTTCGTTTTAAATTCCTGGCCACTCTGCTTCAGTTGGCGCGTGTTGGTAACGCTCTTCCTTTCATGGTTTTGCTCTGTCGATCCGAATCGGGAATCCCTCGCCGGAGATCTACCGGCTCCTGATAATTTAATGGCATCCGCTGTGTTAGTGAATCGGAGCGGTTCAAATTGGCCATCGCAGCCGAAAGTGAGTATAGCCAAATTCATGGGCAAGGTTCCCTTCAAAGGAACAAAACCAAACCCTAAATTCAACAAGAAGCGTCAATTTCACAATCATTTGGCTCCACCAGATGACGTTGCTGGCCATGTCGTCGATGATTCTCCTGCCGTGACCCAATCCGCAGATTCTGATGATGCATCATCAATTAACCGGAAGCTGAACGATTTCAACCCTGACGCCTTCGTTAGCTTCCGTATCAGCTCTTATTCGAGGAAAGAGTTGATTGATCTGAAAATTCAGTTGGTTACAGAGTTGGAACGGGTTCGTGAATTGAGGAATCGAATTGATTCGAATGATTCTCACGCTAGATCCAGCTCCAACAAGAAAGCGTTATCCAAGAAGAACATTTCTGGCAACAAACGGCCTTTCCCCTCAAATTTCAGCAAAGAATTGAAGAGATTAGGCCCTCAAGAGAATGGAAAAGCATCAATGGGTCATTTGATGAAAAGTTGTTCCCAAATATTGAACAAATTGATGAAAAACAAGCATGGGTACATCTTTAATTCGCCGGTGGATGTGGTCGGAATGGGTCTTCATGATTACTACAATATAATCATGAAACCAATGGACCTGGGCACGGTGAAATCGAGGATGGGAAAGAATTTTTATGGGTCTCCCTTGGAATTTGCGGCGGATGTGAGACTCACCTTCAATAACGCCATGATGTATAACCCTAAGGGGCACGAGGTTTATGCGTTGGCTGAGCAATTACTTGCGAAATTTGAGGAGTTGTTTTGGTCGTTGAGCTTGAAGTTGGAGGAGCAAGACGAGCTACCCGAACGGGGTTATTACGAGGAAAAGTTGCAGGCGAGTTCTTGGAATCATGGTGAAGCCGATAGGTTGAAGAACGATGAGGAAATGGAGGCTGAGAGGATAATGGTTGATAGGTCAGATTCAGCTAATTTTGTTGCAAAATCTGATAGAAATGGAGGGGTTTCGGGCTTTGTTCCAAACCAAAATCCAGCATCACCCCAACAGATGCAACCTCAGGTGCCGACTAGGGTGGCTTCACCAGTAAGGCTTCCCCCGTTTAAGCCATTGAAGCAGCCGAAGCCGAAGGCCAAGGATCCGAACAAGAGGGAAATGAGTATGGAGGAGAAGCAAAATTTGGGGATGGCATTACAGAGCTTACCGCAAGAGAAGATGGATAATGTGGTTCAGATTATAAGGAAAAGGATTGGACATTTGAGGCAGGACGGGGATGAGATTGAACTTGATATTGAGGCAATGGACACGGAGACGTTGTGGGAGTTGGACCGGTTTGTCACTAATTACAAGAAGATGGTCAGCAAGATAAAGCGGGAAGCGTTGATGGCAAACAATGCATTATCTAATGACAGCCATAGGGTAAGCACTAAGCACATTGTGATTGCTTGATGGTTACTAATAGTTGGTATGAGTTTATGATTGTTCTGATTGGAAAATGCAGGAAGATGCAAATACAGAGAAGTTTGAGGTTCCAATGGAGATAAGAAGCTAAAGAAAGTTGATGCGGGAGAGGAAGATGTAGATATTGGGGATGAAATGCCAATTAGTAGTTTCCCACCTGTGGAGATTGAGAAGGACAATGATGGTGCTAGTCGCAGTTCTAGCAGCTCCAGCAGTTCGAGCAGTGATTCGTCATCTTCAAGTGGTATGTGTGGATGTATTAGAACTAGTGTTCATCGATAAGGAATAAAAGAGGAAATCCTTATCTTGTAACGTAATTTTTACAGGTTCAGATTCTGGGAGTTCTTCAGGAAGTGAATCGGATGCTGATGATGCCCGATCTTAAAAGGATGAGCTATATTTTGAAGCTTGTGAACTGATATTGGGTTTTTTTTTTTTTTGGGGGGGGGGGGGAGGGGGTTTAGATGAGGATAGATTTTGGTAACATACTGGAAAAAAGATGTGGATTCCAAACAGTGTTTGAATGCTGCTGCTGAAGAAGTGAACCTTTTTTCCCCTTCTATTTTTGTGTCGATGTACAGGGGGGGTGGAGGAGGAGGAGGGGGTTGTTTTAATGTGGTGGTGTTTTGTAATGGTTGCTCTCTTTAATGGGGGAAGGATTGCAGGGAAGAGGGTTTGGTGGAATATGGGTAGTGGTGGTGGGGGAATACTTTAGTAATGGCATCAACCCTGAAAAAAGGGGATGGGGATTACATGATTCTCGGCGTCAAAACAATAGAAGCAATTTTAAAATGGAATCAATGGTTGTTGGCAAGCATGGTATGGCAACTCATTCAAATTTCAGACCCTTGTATTTTTTTTAAATAAACATAGGGAGATTATGTAATGTGCAAGGGAGGTTGGGAAATGATGGGATGACAGATTGAAGTGAAGCCTGAACAGATTTTGGATCATATCTGGAAAGTAATTGATGAACGGTCCAACTCAAAAGAGGGGCACTTTGCCCCTAATTCCATGGCCAAGACGATTGCAACTTTTCTAACATAAATTTAAAATGGTAAAACATGTAAACAGCTTCTAATTATAAAGAAGTCATAAAAATGTAAAAATTAAATTAGTTATTTATTTATTAATCTTGACGTTGACATCAACAGATGTTGGAGACGGGATTTCTTTTAACTTCTTTTACCCATTGGAAGATTCTTTCTTAAGAATACCAGATTTTGCTCTCTTTGACAAGAACGGCCTTAAAACCTCACTGTTTTTAATCTGAATTCCATTATAGTGATAAATTCTCAATGCTTTAAGATCTATCAACTTCAATGGATTAATTTAAGCTTAAAAGAAGCCACCATTCAAGCCATTAAATACATGTAAATTTAAGCTTGATAATATCTACAAGTCTAATTGTTTCTGTTGTACATAAAAGCAAGTTTCCTGTATTATGCGCATGGAGACGTGTTTAGGCAGAAATTGTTGACATTGTCAACTTTGAAAATGCTGACAACAATGGGGTATTCATAATTTCATCATCCAAATTCCAGAGAAACGTGTATAATACTTTTGATATATGAAATAAAGAAAGACAACTCATCTTAGATATAATATATAAATAAACAAGAGGATGCTCAACAAAATCCCTCAGTTTCCTGGGCATGTCCAACGAATTATCACCCACTGTGACCAATAATGCAAAAACTAATCGACAAAATTTGAATCTCACCTATGGAGGCTTCAGCAACACTCAGAAGCCATACGAGTTGCAGCGACAAAACCTAATTTTTCTCTATATCAATGTATAGATGCATCAAAAATTACCTTCATGCAGTCACTAATTGAGGATAAATAGTCGGCGGAGAAAAGTCTGCTTGGACTGAATGGATTCGGCAAAAGTTTGCTGTCAATGGATGTTTTTTCATGAATTTTTAAAGCTAACAGCAAAGCATAGCTTCTTCAAACCACTGACAAACTCCGGGAGCTTCAAGAATAGGATCCAACAATGCTTCAGCAGGCAGCTGCAACATGTAGAAATGTTACATAATGATTGAAACATCTACTTAACACATTAAACGCATTCATAAATTGCAATAACTGTTACAATACTGACATGAACCTTGACACGACATACAAATGAGAATACTTGGAACTGCCAGTATGATAATCGCTAACCAACATATCTTTACAGTTATTGGAGGTTATAAAGACGAAATAAATGACCTAGTAAACGCATAACAAAAGGAAGAGTATTAGAAGGACTTGGCACAACATCCAACCAAAAGAGTAAAAGAAATTCTTTATAATGATACACTTAGAAACCATTGCAACCAGCACATAGTATTAATATTTACATAAATAATAATAATAAAGTGCTGACATCTAATTAGGCAAAATATTAAGTTAGCAAAGGTTCAGAATTATTACAGATTTCCCACATCCTGGCAGAAAAAAGTATGAACATCACGAAGAAAAAAATCCTATCACTTAATCAGAAAAATACCTTTTCAACAATTTCTAAAACGATGGAAACTGAAGGCTCCTGCAAATATCGTTTTTTGGTAGAAAGGGAGATATGAGCACTCATAAATTTCTTGATGATACGAGTATCTTTAGTGAGTCCGCCAGATTGGGCAATAGCACCATATGCAAATAAGCAACCCAGAAGGCAATCCCTTGCTTCCTACATAATCAAAGCCAATTACTTGATGTAACAGAGTAGATGAAAAACTGAAATGCATTGTGGAAAGCAAGCCTACCTGACCCTTCATCGATGACGGGACCTCCAATAAATTAACTATAAGTTTCAACAAGGAGTCCACTTTGATGCTAGGAATTGTGGCCAGCAAAGCAGTCAAACCCAATGCAAAACCCTGTCTAACACACTGCAAAACAAGTTGAAAAACATAATATCAGCCACAAGCCAATTTAAGTTATTTTATGGATGGTCAAGTATATAGCAAGATAACAAATGAACAAGTACACTTCAGATGCTAGATGTTAGACTAGATTCAAAAGATAACTTAGGTGACACACGGAAAGCATTTTTAAGTTAATTGTTCGAAGTGTTCTAGGAAGATTGTTTTATTTTTCATACACGGGTAAAGCAAAGCAAAGCATCGAAATGCAAATTGAAGAAAATAGGAAAGCTATGATTTTCGCAGTGAAATGCAAAATACAAACTTTTAAAACATCAAGAAGCAAGTAGCTACATGAATTCATGCGAGACAAAGAACAAAGATAGCATCAAACCTCTCTCGACGAATAAACACCACGCATCAACCTCTGCACATCATATCTCAAAGATGGTTCACAATTATCCAACACATCATCCTTTCGAGCTTCCAGTTTCAAAACACCCTCAACCAAGTCCTTATTCTCGAGCCTATCATATGCCTTCTGAACCTCCTGCAACTCAGACACCATTGTTTCCACCGCTGCTTCTCTCACCGAAGAATCTGCCGAAGCCAAGTCATTAAAAACACCGATACGGAACTCAGGCAAACTACTACAAGATGAAGAGGCCACGGGTTCGGGGGCACCATCTCCTTTAGATTCAACAATCAATTGTTTTGGCCGAGGCTCCTCGTTTTCTAAAACCGAATGCCTCCTCTCCTTGTCCATTTGTTTCCTCTTCTTTTTCCTCTCCACTGGTTTAATGGAACCAGCAGCAGCAGAAGATGAAACAACACATCTCCCTTATCTGCATCTTTTTTTTCTTATCCATCTTAATTTTCTTACCAGAAGGCAACCAAAACCATATTATCAGTAGCTAAATAAGTTTCACCCTCAAGAGGTTCTACCTCAGATTGAGTACTTCTTTTCTTGCTACAGGTCAATATGTCATAATTTGTTTTTAAAAAAAAACAATTATGACTTTATTTGAAAATTTAGTGATTTTGAATTAAGTTGAATTAAATTGAATAAGAGTCGTCATCGATTTTTGGGTTAAGTAGGTCGAATACCTAATAACGTCTTTTAAAACAATTTTAAGAAAAATCATTTTTAAGACAAAAATTGGTTTGCGTTATCCAAAAATCCGCTTACACTTTGTTGTAATGGTGGAAATTATGAATTCACAATGATAATTAAAGTACGATCCATTTATTAAAATTAATTTGTTTTGAATTATTTAATAGAGAAAATCTTTTAATTGGAAAAAAAATCTCGAGATCAACAATTCTCCATCGGGAAAGCTATCTCGTCTATTTCTTGTCTAAAAAGAATATTCCCTCATCGATAAAAGAGTGAATCGAATATAAATTAAAAATCGACATTTGCAAACAACAAAATAAATTGATATTTACTTTATCATGCATTGCATTGTTCAAATTAAAATAAAAATGAATTAGCTAACAAAATAAAATCGATTTATTTCAAGTTCATATTTCGTTCGAACGTCGTATCGGATCACACTACTTCGACAAAAAAGTGTTTTCCACTCCCATTCTATAAATAAGTATTCTTGAAATTATTCGCGTAATATTAATAGTTAAAGAAATACAATAGAAACAAATGTGATTGGAAATATGTGACATAAAATATTTACAATAAATATATCTAAGCATATTTATTTACATATAATTACATAATATGTAAAATATACACATATATAAAGGACTATATCATAAACAAGAAAACATCACAGATCAAATTACAAACAACAAAAATAAGCACATTCGGTAATTCAATGGACCAAAATGACACTAACAGAAACTGGAAGGACCTAACAATAATTATGAACAAACCAGAGCCCCAATCAACATTTTAAACAAATATAGGTACCAAAAACAAAAAAAAACCTATAAATAATATTAAGGACTAAAATAAAATAAACAAGAAATATGAAAGGGACAGTTAAAACTATACCAAAATGCAACCATATGAAATAGTGACCAAAATAAAAGATTCTTAGATGTTGTGGCAATATTCGAACATCAAAGAAAATAACATAAGACATAGGGTCAGTGACTTAAAAATAAACATAGGAAACAAAATGCTCAAAGTAGAATATCAGTAGATTTAAATTAATGACTTCATAATAAAATTACAAAACATGGGGACCTAAACTGTGATTTGCCCCCAAAAATTGAAGAACACAGGTGATATTACAAAGATACAAGGACTCGATTTTCTATTATCCCCAAGCACGAAAACATGCTGAGACACCCCTCTTAGACAACGTCGTACTGCAGATGGGATAAAACCCCATTTTAAGGGTTATTTCAAAACTCTATTTCATTTCTTACCCCCAAACAACATGCTCTCTTTTCTCTCTTCCTCTCTCACCTTCCACCGTCGAGGAGAATGAAACAAAATCCCCAAACCTCTCTGACCACCACGAATCGGTGGCCAATTGAGGTACAAAATAGCCCCAAATGAAATCTCTTCTCACCCTCAAACCGAAAACCAAACCTAAACTCTTAAAACAAGACCCTTAACCCTAGATCTAAAAAGTCTAATGGTTACATTAAAAAATCGGAGGCCTTGGCTCGGTGAAGATCCCGGTTCCAACCAAGAACAGAGGTATTTTCTTTCCCCTTTCTTTTTATTTTCGAGAGGTTTCTCTTTTTTGTTTGAATCTCTTTATTTTGCCTTTTTTTCTTCTATGTTCCCCTCTTTTTTTTTTGGTTCTACTCTCTTTCCCTCTTCCTCTTTTCCTATGTTCCTGGCTTGATAAAGACTTGATATGTTCTTGTATTACTGAGAAGATAAGGTATGAATGCCCTATTTTCGGCTTGATTAACAACCCTAATTTTCTCTGGATTTCTTTTTCTTTTTTTTATTGTTTTCTTTATTTGATATGCTTGGTGATTGACTGGTGATTGATTTGGGTACTGTTCGGCCTCTATTGATGACAACGACGGCTCGGGAGTGATCGACAGCGGCTCACGCGACTAGGGTGATGGCTGGTGAAGCGCACACGCCAATTTGGGGAGCTGAAGAGTTTGACGACGGCGGCTGTTGATATTTAAGGTTTAAAAACCCTAACCCTTGAGTAGTTGAGGACCGTTGGATCTCCATCAGATCCAACGATTGGAAATTGGGCGGTTGGGGCAGAGAAGAAAACCCTAGTCGAGTTTGAGTGCTAGGCCTGGACCGGGTCTGATCTTGGGCCTCAGGTCTGGGCTCCAGTTGGGTCAGCTTCTCGGTGGGATTGTATTTGATTTATTAATGGGCTTGGGTTGATACCGTTGAGCTTATGTAACTGGTGGGCTTCGGGTTGTTGTTGTAATTTGGGCTTCATTTTCAAGCCTACAAAATGTAATAATTAGTAATAATAAAAGTAAATAATAATAATAATAATAATAATTTAAAATAAAAATAAAATTCGGACAAAAATAAGTGTGACCCAATATCTGAAAGTTGTCCGCAATTATAACTATGGATAAAAAATCAACTTTCCCAGCAGAAAAAAACGAATCAAACAAAAAAATAATCAAAGATAAACCTTTATGAGTGACAATGCTATAAGTGGATTAAATTTTAACGACTGAATCATGGAATTTCAATACTTTAAAACTTGTTGCAAAAATGAAAACAAATATATACAGACAAATTAAAAGACAAGAAGAGTTACCGTTGAGTTTTGTAATATGCTAGTTAAAGAAAGATGAAGCCTCAGTGATATAACTTGGTAGGGTTTAGAGGGAGAGAGGCATAGAGAGTTGTTGACCATTGTAGGGTTTTATTAATTTATAAGAAATAATTTTAGAAAAATAATATTATTTTATAATTAAAAAATATAATTTAATAATTTAAATTGACAATCAAACTTAAGCATCCTTATTAATTTTCACAGTAAAATGATTTTATAAAATAATGATTATTTTTTTATACCATGGACATTCCTTCTAACTCTAGCTGGACATTTAAGAGAATCATGAAGCTTCGATCCCTTGCTTATCCTATTTTGTCTGCAGGATTTAAGTGTACTAAAAGCTTATGGGAAGATGTTCGATTGAAGAACAACAAGGTTTCCTGACAGAAACTGATCTGGTACCCAATGCACACCCCTAAGCACAACATCATCACTTGGATGATAATTCTGGACCGTTTGCCCACTAAAGATAGGCTGCAGAAGTTTGGAATCATTGTTAATTCTCAGTGCATCTTATGTTCTGAAACTAACGAAACCAAAAATCATCTTTTTTCTGATTGTAAGATGGCTGGCTCCATCTGGCGTTCCCTTCTTCTTCTTTATGGTATTCACAAACCTCAATTCTGCAGGTGTTACTGAATAACCACTTTTTGTTAGAAATTCAGCAATCTTACCATACCATGCCCTAGGTGCTTGTTTCAATCCATAGAGTGCTTTTCGCAGCTTACACACATATTCAGGATGATCTTGACTCTGAAAACCCATTGGTTGGGTCATGTAGATCTCTCGATCTAGTTCTCCATGAAGAAAAACATTTTTCACATCCATCTGCCACAAGTTCCAGTCTTTGTTGGCTGCAAGTGCAAGTAAGACTCGTACGGTTGTAAGTTTCGCCACTGGACTAAATGTTTCATCATAGTCTAATCCATACTGTTGAGAGAAGCCACGAGCTACCAATCGCGTTTTGTACCTCTCGATTGACCCATCTGGACGGCTTTATCTTGTAAAACCCATTTGCAAGATATGGGTTTCACATATTTTATCTTTGGTACAATATCCCAAGTTTGATTTTGCTGAAGTTCATCGATCTCTTCTTTCATAGCTGTCATCCACTCAGAACTCTTCGATGCTTCTTCGAACGTCTCAGGCTCCGTTGCTTCTTCAATTATGGCTGCATTGACATATTTGGGATTTGGCCTTCGTATTCTTGTTGACCTTTGGAGTTGAGATTGTGGAATTGATTCTTCTGTTTCACTAGGCCCACCTTCTTCGTTTGGTTATTGATACACGCCAGTTTGCCAAGGATTCTGAGTCACTCTTTGTTCGACATCATCGCCATTTGGATCTTCTGATTCATCTAAATTTGTTTGGAGTTGAACATTATGCTCCCCCATCTTTTATTGTAGCTTGTCTCTAAATTCTCTCGAATCTGGCAACACCTCCTTCTATGAGGACCACCAAGAAGATGCTTCATCAAATACCACATTTCGTGACGTGTAGCATCTTTCACTAATTAGATCACAACATTTCCACCCCTTTCTCTGGCTGTCATATCCCACAAAGATACATCTAACAACTTTCTTGTCAAATTTGCTCCGTAAATGATCAGGAACAAACACATAACATACACAGCCAAATACTCGAAAGTAGCTAACTGTAGGTTTTATGTTCCATAGTTTCTCAAAGGGTGAAACAAATCCTA